GGGCTTGGGGTTTAGGGGTTTAGGGTTAGGGTTTAGGGTTTAGGGTTTGGATTTAGGGTTTGGGGTTTGGGGTTTGGGGTTTGGGGTTTAGGGTTTAGGGTTTAGGGTTTAGGGTTTAGGGTTTAGGGTTTAGGGTGTCGGTTCTAGGGTTTAGGGTTCAGGGTTTAGGGTTTAGGGTTCGGGGGTTTGGGGTCTTGGGTTTTGGGGTTTTGGGGGTTTATGGTTTGGGGTTCAGGGTTTGGGGTTTAGGGTTGGGGTGTAGGGTTTGGGGTTTAGTGTGTTTGAATTTAGAGTTTTGACCGCGACACTAGAAGGTCCGGGATTGATGTTTAGGGTGCTTTGGGGATTTGCAGAGGCTTGAGGACTTCGGTTGTTTGAAGCAATCCGAAGCCACGGAACGAACCCGAAACCTTCAACTGAAGGCTTAACTCAAAAACATGAGCCCTGACGGTAACCCCCATGAGCCCCCGCCCTACATCTGATGAGCCCTATAATCCCTAGAGGCCCTAAACCCCGCTAAGCCTGAGAACCTTCTAAACGCCCGAAAGCCGAAGTACACAACCGTAACAGCCCTGAACCCTAAACCGTGAATCCTTCGTTTTACTGCAGCCCCCGAAATGCCTTGAAACCCGAAAGCTTGGAATGTTCCCCCTTATACCCGTCCTTTAACAGGGATTCTAATCGAGGACTCTAATCCCTATTAAGGTCTGTTCTAGACCCGGGAGTAACCTAGGAATAAAACGGGTGCCCTTTTTGGCTTTAAGGGGATTCTAACTGTAAGGGAACCCCAACCCCCAAAAAAGGAAACAAGGGCCTACTCCCGGTCCTAGTGTTCGTATAAGGGGGAACATCCCAACCTCTTCCCTCAACCCAACCTCTTCCCTAAACCCTAAACCCTAAACCCCAAAACCTCTTCCCTAAAAAACGCTCCGCCGCTTCGAGCCTTCGGAGGACTGCGCGGCCACTGCCGAGACCTCCAATCGAATAGCCTAGGGTTTAGGGTTTAGGGTTGAGGGTTGAGGGTTTAGGGTTTAGGGTTAGCCAAGAGTGTGCACCGGGCTTGGGGCGAGCGTTTAGGGGTGACTACACGGAAGAATTACTAGTAGTATCCCTTTGTGGTTCCTTTGTAAGTATACTATAAAACCCTATTCTAATCATTAAGGCCCCTATATTAGAGGGCTTTAGGGGTTCAGGACTTAAAGGACTAGGGTTTAGGGTTCAGGGTGGCAACCGCCATGGTTCAAAGCTTGGCTTCTTTTGGACTTCGAGCCCTAAGCCTTCCAACCGAACAGCCTAGGAGTCAGGGTTTAGGGTTTAGGGTTTAGGGTTTAGGGTTTAGGGTTTAGGGTTTAGGGTTGAGGGTTTAGGGTTTAGGGTTTAGGGTTTAGGGTTTAGGGTTTAGGGTTTAGGGGCAAAACCTGCCTTCTCCAATCGGGCGTCCACGCGCCGCAGCTCGTCTTGCAGCTGCCTGGTAGATGGCTTAAGGCCCTAAAACCCTAAAACCTTAAACCCTAAACCCCAAACCCCAAACCCGAAACCCTGAACCCTAAACCCTACGCCCTGAACCCTAAACCCTAAACCCTGAACAATAAACCCTCCCGAAACCGTAAGCCCTGAGCCCTAAACCCTAACCCTAAACCCTAAACCCTAAGCCCTAAACCCTAAACCCTAAACCCTAAACCCTAAACCCTAAACCCTAAACCCTAAACCCTAAACCCTAAACCCTAAACCTAACACTTGGCTGCGCCTCTCGGTGGATTGGCACTTCTCAACTTCGGCCAGGAGCCCTGGCCATTGCGGAGGGCTGACAGGCCCGAAGCCCCGAAGTGGTTGAGGGTTTAGGGTTTAGGGTTAGGGTTTAGGGTTTAGGGTTTAGGGTTTAGGGTTTAGGGTTTAGGGTTTAGGGTTTAGGGTTTAGGGTTTAGGGTTTAGGGTTTAGGGTTTAGGGTTTAGGGTTTAGGGTTTAGGGTTTAGGGTTCAGGGTTTAGGGTTTAGGGTTTCGGGTTTCGGGTTCGGGGTTCAGGGTTTAGGGTCTAGGGTTGAGGTGCCAAGGCCCACGGGACCAGGACCCTGAAACATCACCTTCGCTCCAGGCTCAACCGTTTAGCGAGTTGGCTATGGGTTAAGGGCTTTAGGGTTTAAGGTTTAGGGTTGAGGGTTTGGGACGTTAGGGTTTAAGGTTTAGGGTTTAGGGTTTAGGACGTTAGGGTTCAAGGGCTTCAGGGCTTACAACGGATTCGGTACCTTGTGTCTTGCTAGCTTGGGTTGTAAAACCCTTTGCGCAGGTTCCCTTACTGTAAATATGATACTCTTCAACCCAACAAGGGTCAGACGAAATATCCCAAAGGGCCTATATACGCTCTAAAGCCTAAACCCTATTCCTCTGAACGCTGAACCCTGAACCCTGAACCATGAACCCTGAACCCTGAACCCTAAACCCTAAACCCTAAACCCAAAACCCTAAACGCTAAACCCTAAACCCTGAACCCTCCCTAGCGAAAAGTCACCCGCAACCTGCCCGCCTTTCCGTGCCGCGGCGGCGTCCGCACCAGCTCGGGCAAGATCCTCGTTTAGTGCCTTTAGGGTTTACAAGACCGGGAAGCAAGGGTTTAGGGTTTAGGGTTTAGGGTTTAGGGTGTAGGGTGTAGGGTTTAGGGTTTCCGTCTAGAAAAGAAGGGTATGTAGGGTACGTAAGGTACATTGTAGGGGTGCTTAGGGTGAAGAGCCAAGCTTGTGGGTTTATAGTGTTTATACGGCTTATGGGTTTAGACAGTGTGGGGTCTTTAGGGCCTGGGGGTGCATGGGCAGTGAAATCTTCCCCTGGTTCGTAGTCGGGAATGAGGGAATTTGGGCCCTACATATACCTTTTAAGGGATTTTTTGGGTACCTCATTCATTCATTCCCTACTAAGAACCAGCCAGTCTTTCCGGGTTTTATCATGGGACTTCTACCTCGGACCCATAAGGTTGTACCCGTGGGCTTGGGTGCCCTTTTCAAAGATTCCCGAAGGGAATATAAGGGCCATGTTAGGAGTAGACTAAGGGAACCGTCCTGGAGACGTTGGTCGCGCTCCGCCTCCGCTGCTTGCATCGCCTGGAGGCAACTTCTTGTGGTGCTCCAAAAACTCTAGGGGGCCAAAACTCTAGGGGGCTTAAACCCCTGAAGTAGAGAGAGAGAGAGAGGGAGAGAAAGAGAGAACAAATCTGCGGTTTAGGTCAATTAGAGAGAGAGAGAGAGAGAGAGAGAGAGAGAAAGAGAAAGAGAAAGAGACAGAGAGAGAGAGAGAGAGAGAGAAAGAGAGAGAGAGAGAAAGAGAGAGAAAGAGAGAACAACTCTGCGGTTTAGGGTTTTAGGGCTTCGGGTTCTAATGCTGCAAAGCGGATTCGGCAACATCGCGTACAACGAAACGGCTTAGTAGGGTTTAGGGTTTAGGGTTTAGGGTTTAGGGTGTAGGTTCAAGCAAAAGCTCCATGATCTGCGGCAGGGCAACAGGCAGAAACTTTTCCTCACCCGCGTGGATAGGACACGAGTACCGGTGCCATTGGGGTTCTCACATGAGGATTCACTATAGTGCCCCAAAGAGTTCCAGGTCAGCTGTTCCAACTCTAAACCCTAAACCCTAAACCCCAAACCCTAAACCCCAAACCCTAAACCCCAAACCCTAAACCCCAAACCCTAAACCCTAAACTCCTAAACCCTAAACCCCAAACCCTCAACCCTGAACCCTTAGAGAGGGCCTGAAGCTTCCCGGCCACCTCCGCGGCGCGGCGTCCGGACTCCTCCTGCGAGGTTGTTTGAGGGCGTTTGAGGGTGTATAGGGTTTAGGGTTTAGGGTTTAGGATTTAGGGTTTAGGGTTTATAGGGTTTAGGGCTACGGAGCATGGGTCTGGATTGCAAAGGGCTTAGGGTTGGGGATTGTGGTTTCTGGAGGTTTGGGGGGGAAGTCTGCTGTTTTGAGGAGTAGGACTTGAGGAGTAAACCCTCAACCCTTTACGGAGGCTGCCGTCTAAGTTTTGCTGCAGGGTTTTGTGGCTTCCAGGCTTGGGGGCTAACACCCTCCAAACCGCCAAACCCTGAGCCCCTAAACCCCAATGATCATAACTTTGTTTGCCTACTTAAGAACCCAAAGCTACTAAAAACCCTAAAGGCCCCTCAAAACACCAAAAAAACAGAAACAAAAAAAAAAAAAAAACATAAAACAACCCCTTAAAAACCCTAAGCAAACCCGCCAAAAAAAGCCCTTAAACAACCCTTAAAACCAAAAAAAATGCTAAAAGCCCTTGAAACCCTAAACAACCCCTTAACTAAAAAAAAACCGAACCCCCTGACCCTAAAAAACCCTAAAAAACCCTAAAAAACCCTAAAAACCCTAAGAAACCCTAAAAAAACCCTAAGAAACCCTAAAAAACCCCCAAAAACCCTAAAAAACCCTGGGATCCTTCAGCTCAGAGGCGCGCTGTTCGGTGAGCTCCTTCGCCTGCGCTTGGGCCTTGTCGGCCGCCTGCAGCTTCGGGGAGCCACATGGCCCCCTTGCTAAGTGGGGTTTAGGGTTTAGGGTTTAGGGTTTGGGGTTTAGGGTTTAGGGTTTAGGGTTCTCGGGTTCTCGGGTTCTCGGGTTCTCGGGTTCTCGGGTTCTCGGGTTCTCGGGTTCTAGGGTTCTAGGGTTCTAGGGTTCTAGGGTTCTAGGGTTCTGAGTTTAGGGTTTTCGGGTTTTAGGTTTTAGGGTTTTAGGGCTACATGGCCCCTTACTATTTTGGGGCCCGTAAATGGGGAACCCATCGGGTCTAGGGTTTAGGGTTACATCCTTGCTATTAAGGGCCCTGAGATGTTTAGGGTTCAGGGTTCAGGGTTCAGGGTTCAGTGTTCAGGGTTCAGGGTTTAGGGTTTAGGGTTTAGGGTTTAGGGTTTAGGGTTTAGGGTTTACGGGAAGTTTGGGGTTCAGGGTTGCATGGTCCCCGAAGATGGGCCCTCAAATTGGGGAAACGTTTTCGCCCCCTTATTTACCCTAACCCCAAGGGGCCATACTTCAGAAACCGTTGAAGAAGGTAAGGGACCATATTGAGGGACCATGTAACTTCCCTTCGACTGCACTCAGGGGTTCCAGGGGGTCTGGGGGGTCTGGGGATGTAGGGGTTTAGGGTTTAGGGGTTCAAGGTTTTAGTGATTAAGGGAAACCCCTAAACCTTGAACCCTAAACCTTAAGACCCTAAAACCCTACAACCTAAAACTCTAAAACCCCGAACCCCTAACCCTAAACCCTGGTCCCGGCATGTTACTCCATTCAGGGTTTCGGGCTGAGAGTTATAGGTGACCGGGTTTAAGATTTAGGCGGGGCTAGATTGTTAGCGCTTAGGGATCAGGCGTGATGGAAAGGCATCCCTCCTTCAGGCTTCGCCGTTAAAGCCCCTAAGCCTCTGAACCCCGAACCATACTTTTGCTGTGGGATTTCTAAACCCTAAGCCCGAAACCCTCGACCCAACGAAAGAGTATACCCTTAAGTGTCCAAGGCAGAACCGTGCACCAGGTGGGGCTTTCAGAGGGCTTCGGGCTTAGATGGCCCTTTTTAATGGTTTTAGGGCTTTTTAGGGTTTAGGGTTTAGGGTTTAGGGGATAAGGTGCCCCAAAAGGGGAGCTGTCAGATGGAGAACTGAGCGACTCTGTGGGGCCGCGCTTCGTCCCTAAAGCCCTAAACCAGGATAGGGTCCACAGCAAAATGCCAGGAGTCCCAGTCGATCTCCGTGACCAAGGCGTTCGTGGGTGGGCATGAGGTGATCCCGCGCATGTCCGACCCAAAAGTATCACCAGGTGACGCTGCTGAAGGTCGTGGCTGGCAGGTCAACGTCGATGATCAGAGACTACCCTGAGCCCGAAACCTTAAACCCCAAACACGAATCCATGGATGAAGATGTCTTGCTGAGAGGGGGGAAAGTAAAACTGGTGGCCTGGGTTGGGAGCCTTAGGCTTCACAGGGCGTTTAACTTTTAAGCCCCAAACCCTAAGCCCTAAATCGTAAACCCTAAACTCTAAGGTCTGCTTGGGCATCTGAGACAGAGTTTGGGGGGGATGAGGCGTTGGGTGTTTGAGGAATTCCTCTGCCGCGCCAAGCTTCTGAACCCTACACCCTAAACCCTAGCCCTAAACCCTAAACCCTAAACCCGAAACCCGAAACCCGAAACCCGAAACCCTAAGCCCTGAACCCTAAATCCTCAACCCTGAACCTCTTCGGATTTTTCGAGGCCTCGCGGGCGAAGGCCTTGGCCTCGGCCACGCCTGCGCGTTGCTTAGGGTTCAGGGTGTAGGGTGTTTGGTTTAGGGTTCCGGGTGGGTTTAGGGTTTAGGGTTAGGGTTTAGGGTTTAGGGTTTAGGGTTTAGGGCTTAGGGCTTAGGGCTTAGGGCTTAGGGCTTAGGGCTTAGGGTTTAGGGACAGCTGACGCAGGTCCACTCAAATGACTAGCTTGCGGGGTACCGGGTTGTCCTAACCCCTAAACCCTAAACCCTAAGTCCCTAAGTCCCTAAACACTACATCCCTACAACCTAATTGCACCCCAAACCCTAAACCCAAATTTCACCTGAAACCCTAAACCCGAATTACACCCTAAACTCTGAGCCTGAATTACGCACCCTAAGCCCTAAACCCGAACTACACCCTAGACCCTCAACCGCCCGAAATGCCCCCCTCGGTGTGTGGGAGCCTGGTTCAGGGTTCGGGGTCTTCGACCCTAAACCCTAAACCCTAAACCCTAAACCCTAAACCCCAAACCCCAAACCCTAAACCCTAAACCCTAAGCCTTGGTGCTCGAGGAAGTATCGGCTTCCAGGCTTGCGGGGAAGAGAGCTTTGAGTCGAGAGGCTTCCAGGATTCATGGGGGGAAGTTGAGAAGGGTTTGGGAATAGGGTTTAGGGTTTAGGGTTTAGGGTTTAGGGTTTAGGGTTTAGGGTTTAGGGATAGGGGGCGGGGGGGGGGGGGGGGGGGGGGGGGGGGGGGGAAGAAGTCGAGAAAGTTAGGGGCTTGGGATTTCAGGGTTTTGGGGCTTTGGGTTTAGGAGTTTAGGGTGTAGGGTTTTAGGGTTTTGGGGCTTACGGATTTAGGTGTGGGTTTCAGGGTTTGGGGGCTTCGGGTTTAGGGGTTTAGGGTGTAGGGTTTTCGGGTTTTGGGGCTCATGGTTTAGGGGTAAGGGTGTGGGGTTTTAGAGCTTAGGGCTACTGAAGGGCTTGTAGCAGGGACCATGGTTTAGACAACTGGCCATAAACCCTAAACCCTAAGCCCTATTTACACCAGAAACTCTAAACCCCAAACCCTGAACCCCTGAAACCTTCCCTGGCTGGATCTTCAACAGGGTTTAGGGTTTAGGGTTTAGGGTTTAGGGTTTAGGGTTTAGGGTTTAGGGTTTAGGGTTTAGGGTTTAGGGTTTAGGGTTTAGGGTTTAGGGTTTAGAGTTTAGGTTTATAGTGTTGGGTTTAGGGTTTAGGGTTTAGGGTTGAAAAAACACGCCATTCTTCTCTGGCAGCCGATGCCAACATCTTTTCCGCCACACGATTGGGGGAAGCTTCGTAAGAGCAACTTGGCTGCACTCAGGGAGGGTAGCTATAAACTAAACTTTTAGGTGCCTTATTAAGAAACCCAATAAACCCAAAAAAGGTAAGGATCTAAAGTCACGGTAAAGTGCCACAAAGACAAGGTCAGGCTGATCGATATAGGACACGTCTTCGCTTGGCCGACCGTGACAAGAAACGCGGCAGATGCCACCATTAGTTAGGGTTTAGGATTAGGGGGACCCTGGGGGACATAGACCCTCTCAATAAGGTCCCTCTTTAAGAGGGCCAGAAGAAGGCGAACAGAAGGGTTCCCTTTTAAGGGTCCCCCCTTATCCTACCTAGGATTAGTGCTGCGCATCCAGTATTCGTTCTTGACGAAGTAAGTACCTAAACCGGCCTAAACCCTAAACCCTAAACCCTGAACCCTAAACCCCAAACTAAGTCAAAACCCAACGCCCTGTAAACCCCACAAACCCTACAAACCCAATAAACCCGATAAACCCTACAAACCCTACAAACCCTGCAAACCCTACAAACCCTTAAACCCTACAAACCCCACAAACCCTACAAACCCTACAAACCCTACAAACCCTACAAACCCTATAAACCCTACAAACCCGATAAACCCTATAAATCCTATAAACCCCATAAACCCTAAACCCTACATCCTAAACACTAAACCCTAAACCCTAAACCCTAAACCCTAAGCACTTTTGCACGTACGACGGCTGGGGGATCAGAGAGTTTGAGCATGCCGGCCTTCGGCACACTGCGCCGCGGAGGCAGAGACGGCCTTCTCAGGTCCAGGAAGGGTTTAGGAATTAGGGTTTAGGGTTTAGGGTTTAGGGTTTAGGGATTAGGGATTAGAGCTTAGTGTTTAGATGAGTTGAGGGCTTGGGCTTTGCTGTTGGGGTTGAGGCTCTAGAGTTCCGCGCTTCGGGCTTGGGGTTCCCCTACGTCCTAAACCAAGCGGCTTTTAGGGTTTAGGGTTTAGGGTTTAGGGTTTAGGGTTTAGGGTTTAGGGGTTAGGGGTTAGGGTTTAGGGTTTACCTCTGCACCCCCCCTTGAACCCGCAATGTTCAGGTAGGAAGTGAAGGTTTTCTGCTGTGGGCCGTGGCCCTTGGGATTTTCAGGTTTCTTGGGCTTAGGACGCTTTTAAGGGCTGCGAAGCCCCGAACCCCAACCCCACCTAAAGCCCGCAACCCGAAAGCCTAAACGGTAAAAAGACGTCTTGGGTAGCCCAGGAACCATGTCATAAAAAGGGTTTAGGGTTTAGGGTTTAGGGTATAAGGGAACCCATAACCAAAAAGAAGGGCAAAGGGTACCACTGGGCTTCCAAGACGTAAATCCTGCACCCGAAAGCCCCTAAACCCTAAACCCTAAACCCTAAACCCTAAACCCTAAACCCTAAACCCTGCACCCTGCACCCTGCACCCGAAAGCCCCACATACTTTCAACTTGCCCTTCAGGCCTCGAGGCGTGCCTCGAGACGCCGCAGAGAATCCCCATGCTGCCTGACATATTCAGGGTTTAGGGTTTAGGGTTTGGGGTTTAAGGTTTAGGGTTTAGGGTTTGGCGTTTAAGGTTTAGGGTTTAGGGTTTGGGGTTTGGGGTTTAAGGTTTAGGGTTTGGGGTCTAGACCGGAGACCCTATAACTCCTGCAAATGAGTAGGTTCGGGCGCCCCAACAGTCGATTTTATACACCCAGAGAATCCTTGGCTCGAACGTGTCGAATGTGTAAGGGAGGTCCACAAAAACCCATGCCCTAAACCCCCTAAACCCTAAACCCCAAACCCTAAACCCTAAACCCCAAACCCTAAACCCTAAACCCCAAACCCCAAACCCTAAACCCTGAAACTTAGGCCCTGAACTGTAAAACATGCCCCCCGCATGAACCCATACGTCCATCAGAAGCGATGCTCAGGTTTAGGATGGACAACAAAGTGGATCCTTGTAATCACCCTAAACCCTAAACCCTAAACCCTAAACCCTAAACCCTAAACCCTAAACCCATTGCACCAATTACAAAGCACCTGTACGTTTGAGTTCCGAAGTAAGCAAAAAACATCCCAAGGCTTAACTACACGACCCCTGAAGCCTGAAGCCCCCACTCCCTAAAGTCTAAACCGGGCACTACGTGCCTTCTATTCCCTCTAGGGAGCTTTGCCCTAAACCCTAAAGCCTAAACCCTAAACCCTAAACCCGCAACCCTGTAAACTACACAGGGTGCCACCTTCCCAACTTCCCGACTCGGAGCTTGCGAGACTCAAGGGACTAAAGGAGGGACCCTTATAAGGGACCTTAGGGTTTATCTAGGGGTTCTTTGGGGGTACTTAGGTATATAGGACTAGAAAAGGTTTAGAAAGGGGTTATACAGGGAAACAAGATTAAGGGTTTAGGGTTTAGGGTTTAGGGTTTAGGGTTTAGGGTTTAGGGTTTAGGGTTTAGGGTCCCTTCTAGGAGTCCCTCCTTAAAGGACAAGCGGCCTGTCCGCCGCTTGACAACGCTCAAGGTCGCCTTGCACGCCTGCGCTGGCGATGACAAAGCTTCAGGGTTTTGGGGGTTTAGGGTTTAGGGTTTAGGGCTTAGGGTTTTGGGGGCTCAGGGTCCAGGGTTTAGGGCTTAAGGGTAGGGATTTGGGGTTTTAGGCATTAAGACTGTTCCCCTAAGTGCTCATAATGAAGGCCCTATAGCTCCCCGAATATACAAGGCAGTCCTCGACCATGAACCCAAACCTCAGTTTACATAATTATGAAAAGTTTGTCGGCCATTCAGGATCTTGGCCCTTTGTTTTGGGGGTACACTATAATGAAAAGTTTTCGGGCCGTGACTGTTTTTTTAATGGTTTTTGAGGTCCAAGTTCTTAGTTTGAGATCTGGATATCCTAAATCCTAAACCCTGACCCCTTCCCGCCTGACTGTTTGGGTTTTCTTTTTATTCAGGGTCCTCGTTTGTTTGGGGGCAGGGGGGGGGAGGGTGGGGGGGCGGGGGGGCGGGGGGGGGGGGTTTCCTTTTTTTACAGCAGGTCCAACATTATTTGACACAGTCGAAAGCTCGTGTTGGGAAGCCCCGCCTCATTAAACTCACCGGTCACGCCATCCCGGAAGAGGCGCTGCAGCCTCCTGCTCCTCCGGCGTTGCGTCCGGAGGCGGCGGCACGAAGGTGTTTAGCAGGAATGCTTCGACGGCGCTCACCCGGGCGTTCACAAAGTCCAGCTTGGTGTCCTGCTCCTCATCGTCGTCGGAGGAGGTCCCAGATGATGAATTGCAAATTCTTTGAAGGGGGGGTTCCAGGTCAGGGTGAATGGGGTGTTACGGTTTTTCTCCCAGTCCCTCAAGATGAGGACCCTAGCATAGTTATAGCGTCCATATTCTGATTGACTGGGATTAACGAACCGAAGTTCTAAACCCTCAGCTTGGAGCCTGGCCTCTTGAAACAATGAAACCACAAGGACACCGATTATGTTTAGGGTTTAGGGTTTAGGGTTTAGGGTTTAGGGTTTAGGGTTTAGGGTTTAGGGTTTAGGGTTTAGGGTTTAGGGTTTAGGGTTGAGGGTTTAGGGTTTAGGAAGCATAAGGAGCCGCCAGAACAGTGATATAAACCCTACTTTAAACTCCAAAAAACCCAGTATATAGCGTTCAGAGCTTCTAAGGCTTCGAATCCCCATGCCCTAAACCCTAAACCCTAAACCCTAAACCCTAAACCCTAAACCTTAAACTCTAAACCCTAAACCCTAAACCCTAAACCCTAAACCCTAAACCCTGAACCCTGAACCCTGAACCCTAAACCCTAAACCCTAAACCTTAAACCCAAACAATAAACCCTAACCCTAAATCCTAAACCCTTAAAAAAGTCCTCGGTCTTGAGGGGGGGGGGGGGCAACTAGTGCATGGGACCTATAGCTTCGTCGATGCTCCCCTACTTGGAGGTTCATGGTACTTAATAACAAACTATAACTGTACTTATAAGCCACTCATACGACCCTTAAGTTCCCTAATATGGTTAAACCCTAAACCCTAAACCCTAACCCTGTTTGCTACCCTTGGGGACGAAATGTACCCTAAAATGGGGGTCATATACCCTATACTACTATAATTCCTATTAAACCCTAAACCCTAAGCCCTAAACGCTAAACCCTAAACCCTGAACCCTGAACCCTAAACCCTAAACCCTAACCCTAAACCCTAAACCCCTTTAAGTGCAGTTATCATTGGCTATTACGTACCATGAACCTCCCAAGTACAACCCTGTTTGCTCCACCTTTGCGTGCTTCTGATTGCTCGCCCAGGGCTTTGCCGAGCCTCGCAAGACAGGCAACAAGGTGCCCGAGGCCCGGGTTTAGGGGTTTAGGGTTTAGGGGTTTAGGGTTTAGGGTTTAGGGTTTGGGGTTTAGGGTTTGGGGTTTAGGGTTTAGGGTTTAGGGTTTAGGGTTTAGGGTTTGGGGTTTAGGGTTTGGGGTTTAGGGTTTAGGGTTAGGGTTTAGGGTTTAGGGTCTAGGGTTTTGGGAATCGGGTTCAGGGTTTAGGTTTAGGGTAACCCTAAACCCTGACTCCTGAGGGCTCTGCATGGCGAGCCCTTTCGCTCCATTTGACGGCTCGGGTACTATGCAATACTTAAACCAAAACAACTCAATGCAAGCTTTACAGGAAAGTTACGAGATCAACACATGTCAAAACTGAAGCTTGACAGTGCTGGCCTGTTCAGGAAATTCCTGATATCTGAAAATCCAAACTGCAAATGTTCCGTTCTGTAGCCTGGCGAAGATTCCGCGGGAACAGTTTGAAATTCACAAGCTCTACAAGGTTGCGAGCGGCACGAAAGGCGCAGCGGTGGCGATTGCCAAGTTCAACATGCCGATTAAGCTGAAGGCTGAAATGCTGTGTTTGCGAGAATAGTCGGGAACGACTTGAGATTCAAAGTTGAGAAGCTTACAACTTGAATGTTCGCTTGTGTTTGAACCCCAACACCACAGCTAGACCCTAAACCCTAAACCCTAAACCCTAAACCCTAAACCCTAAACCTTAAACCCTAAACCCTAAACCCTAACCTTGGGGGTTAGGGTTTCCAGGATTTTCGGGGTTTATGGCGGCAGGCCTGAGGGGCAGTTTGGGCTTTCGGGGCTTTCGGGCCTTTTGGCGCCCTAAACCCTAAACCCTAAACCCTAAACCCTAAACCCTAAACCCTAAACCCTAAACCCCATGGCCGTCCCATGAGCAGACCCTAAGCGATATTCAGGATCAGGGCTTGAGGATTTCGCTTGGGAATTTACAGGGTTTAGGGTTCGGGTTTCTCAATAGGGTTTAGGGTTCAGGGTTCAGGGTTCAGGGTTTAGGGTTTGGGCTTTAGGGTTTAGGGCTTAGGGTTTAGGGTTGAACCATGGCCTGTCCAGCTGCTTCTGCCGCTCAGCATCTGAGGACTTCAAGGCCTGAGGTGGTGAGGCTCCCAAAAATGCGGAGGCTTAGGGTTTAGGGTTTAGGGCCTAGTTTAGGGTTAGGGTTTGGGGTTTGCGGTTTAGGGTTTGGGGTTTGGGGTTTAGGGTTTAGGGTTCGCTTATCCAGGGCCCCAATTCCTCTTACCAGACGTGCCTGATACCTCATAAACCCTACCTGCACCTCCACTTTGAGGCAGTTTCAATCCCGGGGTGTAACAAACCTTTCGAGCCACATATGGAAACCGCACGGTACTTCTCAGTTGCAACCCCAACCCCACCCAAAAAAGAAAAAAATCACAACCCTAAACCCCTGCACCCCTAAACCCTAGGTCCTAAACCCGAACTCTGCACCCCTAAACCCTAAACCCTAAACCCTAAACCCTAAACCTTAAACCTCAAACCCTAAACCCTAAACCCTGCGGCCTCCAGCTCACGGCGCTCTTCGCCGAAGCGACGGTCGCAGAGCTCCTGTAGACTGCTATAGGGGTTTAGGGTCAGGGGGTTAGGTAGGGCTTAGGGGTGAGGGTCTTGGGTATAGGGTTATAGAGTTTAGGGTTTGGGGCTTGAGGGTTAAGGGTCTGGGGTTTGATGCTCGCGTTTGGGGGGTTCGGGGGTTTAGTTCCGGTTTAGGAGGGCTTACAAGGGTTAAGGGTTTTAGGGGTTCAGAACTTCTCAGCAAGCACAGCCACGCAGCTACAGCTTGTGTGTGCGCGCTGCTTTGTCGCAGCAGAACAGGGCTTAGGGTATAGGGTTTAGGGTTTAGGGTTTAGGGTTTAGGGTTTAGGGTTTAGGGTTTAGGGTTTAGGGTTTAGGGTTTAGGGTTTAGGGTTTAGGGTTTAGGGTTTAGGGTTTAGGGTTTAGGGTCGCCGGCCTTGAACGCGTCCCAATGGCTGGGGAGCGTCTGCCCTAGAAACGCCTAAACGCAACCCCCTAAACCCTAAAACCCAACCAACCACACCTTTAACAGGCCCAACAACCAAAAAGCCAAAAAACCCGAAAGCTCCATAAGCGCAGAACCTTAAAGCACAAAAAAAAACGAAAAACAAAATCCCAAACCCCCCAAACTCCAAACCAAGAAGCCCAAGCCCAAAAACAACCAAAGCCCCAAAGAACGCTTAAATCTCTGCAAAAGCGATCCAAACCACCCCACCCCTAAACTGCCTAAACTGCCTAAACTGCCTGAACCACCTGAACTCTCACCCGCCTGACACCTAAACCCCAAACCTAAACGGAACTCCTACCCCCCACGCCTCGAGCGACTCGTGCCGTCGCGCCAGGTTCAGCGCTTCCTGCTGCTGCTCCAGAAGCGACTCACATACCAAATTGCTAAAATGAACAGCAACAAAAACAAACATAATTACCCAAATAGCCACTGAACTGTTACAAGAACAAACATGCCCAACAAGCCACAGTGAACAGCAACAAGAACAACGCCGCAGGCGTATGTGGCCGCGCGCGCATGTTTGGAGAAGAGAGGAAAACATTGTAAGTACCGATACAACCGATAGTTGAAGCAAGCATCACACGCGCGTAAAAACATAAGTTCTTTCCCTAAATTCGGCAGACGTCTCACGTTTTTTTATGTCAGAAGAGCCTCACCACAAAGGTCCTACATTGCCAGCGGAGCCCAACAAGCCAGAAAGCGCATAACCACTCCCTGTGCTTGGTACATACAGACTTGAAACCCAAAACCCCAAACCCGAAACCCTTGCCGAATGTAAGCCCACATCGTAGCAATCCTGGACCAGAAGGATTCTGCCCTATAGCCCTCAACCCGAACACAAACTCAACCCCCAGGGTATTAAGTGGGTGTAAGGTTCCAGGAACGTAACCTTATAGCCCTCAAGCCGAACACAAACTCAACCTCCAAGGCTTAAAGTGGGTGTAAGGTTCCAGGAACGTAACTACCCCCCCGATTGAAGTCCGAAAGTACCTCAAATACCACGGCGGAATACGCACCGTGGACCAACTACATTAGAGCTGAGCTGCGAATTGCCGCGCCGTCATGAAAGCGGTCAACACGACATCATGTAGGAGGATACTCACACAGGAAGTTCGAGACTTCAGGGTTTCGGGCTTAAAGAGTTGAGGTTGAAGCATTTGGACTGCCAAGTACTGGAAGCATGTGTGCGATGGACGTAACCACCCCCCCCCCACCCCCCCCCACCCCCCCAAAGCATGGAACGACCAATGGATGCAATAGGATTAGGAAACCTCGGAATCAAGGAGGTGTTCGGCGTGTAACACGAGGAAAACACCGCAAATACCGATGTTTCCGGCGTGCAACACGCGCGAAACACTGTAAAGACCGATGTTTTGGGCCTGTCCCAAAAGGCGAAAAGTGGAGGAGCCGAAAACACCGACGGCAGCGAGGGTTTCGGCATGTGACCCTAAGGAAACACTGTAAATACCGAGGAAATCGGCATGTCGGTTTTGCGCGGGGACATGCGTCTGGAGGGAAGAACAAACATGCCCAAATAACCACAATGAACAGTACCAAGAACAAACAAGTGCTTGGGTGATGGGCCTGGGCCGCGCCGCCCAGCGAGTCACGGAGGCTGGCGAGCTGATCCTGCTTGGAAGCTTAGGGTTTCGGGTTTCGGGTTTATACTAACCGTCCTTAAGAGGGATTACAGTACCCCGCCTGTGATAATCCCTACTAAGGGCTTAAGCCCCTAGATCCCGGGGTGCGCAGCTTTGGTTAACGATCTGTTCCCTGAAAGTGCTTGGTGGCCCCCAACTAGGCTCGAACCCTCAGAGCCTGAACGGTTTAGGGTTTAGGGTTTAGGGTTTAGGGTTTAGGGTTTAGGGTTTAGGGTTTAGGGTTTAGGGTTTAGGGTTTAGGGTTTAGGGTTTAGGGTTTAGGGTTTAGGGTTTAGGGTTAAACCACTACAACCTAAGCTACCCAAATTTACTAAAACCCGGAAACTCTGAACCCTAAACCCTAAACTGCCCTAAAAACCTTAAACCCTCAGCTACCCTGAACCCTAAACCCCAAACCATTTCAACCCCATAAACCCTAAACAATCCCTTAAATAAACCCTTTAAAACACGTCATAACCCCTTAAACCCTACAAAACCCTTTAACACCCATAAACCCCATAATTAAAAGCACAAGCCCTACTCATCCCCAAAAACAAACCGAAACCGGCGTCCTTGAGCTCCGCATGTCGGATGTCCACCAGCTCGCGGCTCTGGGCCCGGGCATCCGCGAGCCCTGCTGCGGCGCTGGAAGGCTCAACAGGTGTGTCTAGGGGTTTTGGGTTTAGGGTTTAGGGTTCAGGGTTTAGGGTTTGGGGTTCAGGGTTTAGGGTTTGGGGTTTAAGGTCTCGGGTTCAGGGTTTAGGGTTTAGGGTCTAGGGTACTTTACGTCCAGTTTTATGGGTTGTGCCTACTCGTTAAGGGGTGCTTGAAGGCTCAAAAGGTTTGTGTGTGTAGGTCTTAGGGGTACCTGTGACTCTTTTTACCTACAGTTTGGTAGTAACGACCCCTTGATGAGCAGGTAGAAAACCATAAAACTGCAGGTAAAGAGAGTCCCAGGTACAGGCATCGGGGTTGGGGGTTGGGGCTTCAAGGGTTTAGGGTTTGGGGGTTAAGGGTTGCGGGGTTTGGGGTTAGTTTAGGTGTTTCGGGGTTTAGGATTTCGGCTTCAGGGGTTAGTATGGGCTGACAAGCACAGCAAGGGGACTGGCTTTCTGGTTTAAGGGGCTTTTTAGCAGGGTGATGAGAAGAATGAGGTCGCCACCGGGGGACTGCTAGGGGATCTTTTTGGGTTGAGGGTTTGGGGGCTTCTTAGCGTCCTTTGCAGTTTAGGCTTTAAGGTTTAGGGGTTGGTTCAACTCCCTGGGAAATTAGGGGCTGAGGGCTTTTAGGGCCGCTTGGACTGTTCTCGAAATCATGGCGAATCCCCTTAGCATATTCCCCTTGACATGTGGGCTTATTGTTACTGCTTGGGTTTTTGCAGGGGGCCAGAAGGTTAATTAACCGCCGAGTCCGAGCACCCTAAACCCTAAGCCCTCAAGCCCCTGAAGGCCCTGTTAAGGCCCAAACCCTACGAACCCTAACGGCCCTCACCCCCCCCCCCCCCCCCCAACACCCAAACTGTCTCAACCTTAAACCCTAAACTGGCGAGGCCAATATACATGGGGGGCTGTGAGGATAAAGCCTCCGGAACAACTTTTATGGGGCCCTTGGCGACGCGTCCTTGCGCCCACCTCCAAGAAAACTCAGGAAAGCCCCGCATCCTACAAGAGAATAGTTCGGGTTTGGGCGGGGCTACTAAGCTGTGCAAGTGCGCGATAGGGAGCGTGCCCCTAAATCAAAAGGCAAACTCCCGACGTGCGTACACTAATACACACCCTAGCCCTAACCCTAAACCCTAAACCTAAACCCTAGACCCTAGACCCTAAACCCTAAACCCTAAACCCTAAACCCTAAACCTGAACCCCAAGCTGCCCCCCCAAATAAAAGCCCCAGAGTGTACGGGACGGCCCTCACCTGAGGTGCACTGTCCAAGGGAATTGGCGAGGGCCT